CGGCACAGGTAACGGGGATCCCGGGCGGGCGGCCGCGGGCGGGAGCGCGCTGGGCGCCCGGCGCCCGGAGAGCAGGTGGGAATTCATTCCCGGATCTTCTGCGGGGCTGTCAGATCCTGCGAGGACCTAGAGCCCCTGCCTCGGCAGCAGAAGCCGCTCGAGAGTCTGATGAATGGCAGAGTCTATGCGGGAAATACAGCAGGACGTCGGGAAACACGCCCTGCAGCTCATTTTGCAAGTTGCACTAGGCTACATTTCTCTCTAGGGGGAAAAAAGCAACACGTTCCAGCCAGGGGCAGAGGGTGCCCACCAGCCTCCGGGAGTCCACTATGTCCCTCCCTGGCTTGATGCCGCGGGTGTCGGCGAGGGAGTCGCAGCGTAATTGCTGGATGCATTACGATGTGTTTGGACTTGGAAGTGCAGAGCATATGGCAGATATAGGGGGGGATGCCGGATTGTTTAGTAGCTGTAGGTAGTTCATTTAAATTTCATTCATTCTTTATGGGGGCGAAGAAGTGTGTCAGCTGACAGGCGGCTGGAAAGAAGGATTGTAGGGGAGGAAAGGGTCTGAACATTTGCAAATTGTTTTAAGCCCTGGTTTTGAAGGTAGTAATCTTTATCTGAGAGGCTTTTATTTCTAATGCAAACATTGCACACCCACCCACACGCGCCCGCGCCCGCGCCGCACATGTCACCGCACTCGGGGAGAGGCTCGCCAGGATGATGAGTGAAGTGCCCTTACAAATTTGACCGCACAGAGGGGAATAGGGAGCGGAGGAGGGAAATACTGGTCTGAACTGTCACTTGCTGGCGCTCCCGCTTGCACCAGTCTCTGGACTTCCCGGACTGGACGAGCCAGAGCTCCCTGCAAGCCGCCGGGTGTAGGGGGCTCGCTCGGCAGTGATCACAGTTGCCACCCAACGGAAAGGGACAGAGGCGGGCAGCACCCAAAGCCGCTGCCGTGCAACCGGGACGCAATACCCGCGAGCTCTTCCCCTGTGCAAGAGGTCCCGGCGCGGCGCGCACACGTGGACGTGGCTGAGGCTGCCGCTCCCCCTCCGCTCCTTGCTCCCGCCGCCTTAGGTCGCCCCGGCGCAGGAAGGGAGACAAGATCCATCCTCACCAGGAGGTTCTGGGGAAAAGTCCCTGGAGAAAAAGGAAACCCACCCTCTTTTCCTCGGGTTGTTTGATTTTCTTGTGTTTATTTGTTTTTGAATCGGCGGTCGCTGGTCCCCTTGCAGAGCTGGGAAGTTGCAAAGAGCGTGGTTGAGGGCCCTGCAGCAGCACCCTCGGCCGGGTCTGGCTTGGGCAGGAGCACCGCCAAGGCAGGGCCGCGCGCCGGACGGAAAAGGGAGACGACTCGGGGAGGTCTGGTTCTCTATGCCTCGCCAGGGCCTGGCTGCGCGGGGCAGGGGTGCTGCCCCCTCAGTGGTTTTATCTTCGCGTTTGGAACTTAACAGTAGAGCAGCCGAGGTCACCTATTTTTTTCCGAGGGCAGAAACTGGGAGGAGGAGGACGGAGCTGGGAAGGGGTGCTGGGAGGAGGAGCGGGGGAAGCTCGGCGCCCCAAGATCTCGACTGTCTCCGCGGGGCGGGGCCGCGCAGGTTCCCTATGGCTCCCAGGTAGCGGAGAGGCAAGGCGGCCAGGAGGGGCGGGAACCCTGAACCTGCCTCGTGGGGAAGAGAAACCCGGCTGCGGGCTCGAAGCCGTTTCTTGCAGGGCGAGCGTCAACTCGGCAGGGATTATTAACCAGGTCAGCGAAATGAGTTTGAACCCTTTTTCTAGAATCACAGTAGCGGCCACAAGGCACTTCCTCCCGGTCCCCTCCCTTTTCCCAACCCCCAACACTTCTTTTCTTTTTCGTTTCTTTGCACGGTTTGTTTCCTTGACAGAATGTAATATTCATAGTCGTACTCTTGTAACCACACCAGGTCTAGCAGGTGGGGAGTCGGATACATCAAGCTTGAAATGAGCCTTTGAAAGTCCTCTGACTGTTGGGTCTGAGATCTTGTCAGAGCTGCTAAAGGAAAAGTTATTTCAGGTCCCCAGTAGAAATTAATCATGCTACTTAGAAGACCGGGACAATTTAGAGCAAGGAAGTCGCATGCAAAGCTCAAAGGCGAGCCCCCGCGCCTAGCCTGCTGCTGGACCCAGGAGCTAACTGTGTGAGCAGCCTTGGGCTCGCCCTCTTCCCCTCATGGACTCTTCAGGACCTGCGGAAGTCACACACCACGTTTTCACCAAGACTGCTTTTGCACATCTCTGTGCACATTTCTGCTTAATTTTTAAGAGCCACGGACGGCATGGAATTATTCCTTATTAGCACTGGAAAGTACCTTAGAAGTAGAATCCAAATCCTTCTGTATAGGTGAGGAACTGAGGTCGTGAAAGAGAGGAAGTGATTTGTCCAAGTCATGCAGCTAGGTGGAGGCAGAACTGGGACTGGAACCTTTGCCTCCAGAACCTTAGTCCTGTTTGTTGTCTGTTCTCTCACCTGACGTTGGCTGCCCTCTATAGGCGGCTGAATATGTTGCTTATTCCTGGGTGTTGAGCTGTTGCCAAGACAGTGGTGCCCAATTATTGGTTTGGAAAATGTAGTCTTCACTTCTGAAAATGTGTTCTCCAGATTCAGTCAAACCCCCAAAGTTAAATTCAGTTGAATGTATGGCTCCACTTCCAGATTATTCCGGTTTTCTTGATATCCTTGATATTTCATCTATATCAAGGTGCCACTTCATTTGGGGGCTTTCCAAGGAGTTCCCTATGAACATTTTAAAAGATGATGGACTTACAGCTCTGAATTTATAATAACATTTTTTCACCTTATGATGCTTGTGTTTTTTATTAAAGGGAAACTATTGTAATTATTAATCAGAAGTTGCCTAGACTGACCGTGTGGAACAGGATCAGCTTTTGTTTAAAAGGATGACACTAAGTGAAAAATGGTTTTAGATTATAAAGACACTTTAGCGGCCTTTTTTGGTGGTGGCATCTTACATTTGGATCACATCCTACTTGTTATCATGCATCCTGGACCTTCAGATTATTTCTGAGAACAATAGTTTTGAATTATAAGGACCTGAAATTTAGGATTTTCAGTAAACATGTTTGCTTGCTTGTAAGGGATGGGTAATACATACTTGGAAGTTACCTTAGGAAGACAAAACCTACTATGAATATAAATTTCACTTTTTAAAATAATAATTTGCGTTGTGATATGGCTTTATATCATAATTTTTATTGTTCCCTACTTGATGGATTTCTCAATATTACAACGATAAACTTTAGTGAAGCTTTTAAGGTAGTATAGCTTTCCTTTATATATTAAGTTTTATAAGTAAAATTATAACTAAAAGTTAACTGGCTGTAAAATGACTCTTGTCTATTCATTATATGATTAATAAATGTTAAATATGGAATTACTTTAAAAGTCGTCAAGCTTCATAGTTTTTGGTCAAATAGACAAAAGAAAAAGCTCTTTTGAAAACAGCAGTGAGTTTTGTTAAAACCCGTCTGGGGGAATCCCTCAGTTTTAATTAGATACATTGTAAGATCTTTCAAATACTGTTCAATTGGAGGTAGAAAAAAACATGAGTAAGATTCTATCACATGGCCTAATTATTCACTTAGTTACCCTGGAAACTGAGGATTGTAAATGTGGCCACAAGTTGAATCAACTTGACCTGGAGTTTTGAATTGTTTGATATTAATATTACTTACAAAGCTGGTTGATCACTTGCTTACTTATCCTTCCTCAGGTTTTTAAATCCTTTCCTCTTAGATTCTCCTAATCTTCCTTATCTTTAAGGGATGACTATAATTATATCGTTGAGTGTATTACTTCTTGAATTTTTTCTCTTAATAAAACACTAGCCCATTGGAATAACATAATTGAGTTGTTAATTGTTATGGGGAAATATTATTTAAATGATGTGACGTATGCCAAAGATTTTGAGTGTGTACTTATATAAAGGACATGGGCTCTCCTTCCTTTTACTGTCCTTAACATTAAGTTTTAAACTTGAACCTTCATTGGTTGGAAGGTTGCCAAGTGTGTAACTTGTCACTGGTCTAACATTAACAGCAGGTTTAAACATGCAGAGCAATAGAAAGTGCCAGGTCCTTTGCCGTATCTGTGGATACCAGTAACAGCAGAACCAGTTTACAATACTAGAGCAACAGAATTGTGAAAACAGTCTTGTTGTGCAAGTTTTCAGAAGTTTTTATCTTCTGTAAACTTTGCAAAGATTGTTGAAGAGTTTTGTGTGTAAGTCTTGTAATCCAATAGTTTAAATCCTCTTGTTTCAGTCCACGTCTGCCCATTTTTATTTCTGCAGCATCTACAGTAGTGACGAGGAAGATGAAGACATTGAGATGTGTGACCATGACTACGATGGGCTGCTTCCCAAGTCTGGAAAGCGTCACTTGGGGAAAACTAGGTGGACCAGGGAAGAGGTAACTAATCACATAATCCAAACATGGAGAAAAACCTAGAGTATACCTCTTTATGAAGGACAAAATTTCAGCCAAACTACAGATGTTCAAACTTAATAGGCTCTTTGAAATCTTACCCTCGCTGTCTGTGCAGTCTTCTTACCTCTCACCACCACCCCTATATGGACACTCCACTATCCTTTTCCAAACTCTTTGCAGTTGTTTGAATGTCCTCTCCTTGTTTTGTTTAATCAGTGCTTCCCTCTGCCTATTCTGTCCTTGTCACTTTGCCCCACAGCTTCTTACCACTTCATCATCACCTATGAAGCCATCAATTCTGTGAAGTCATTCCTGGCTTCCCCAGACAGGTTGCATGCATCCTCCAACCACTGGATGCATGATCTTACTTATTGTTACTGTAACGTCTGTGCCTCTCCCAGTAGACTGCAAGTCTACTGAGGTCAGGGCTAAATGTCTATTCATTTTTGTGTTCCCTGAACCTAGAATTGATTGCCACAAAGTGGGATGGTAGCAAATATTCCCTGAACAAATGAATGAATTGCTATTTCCAAAAACAAAACAAATGAAAGAATAAAGCAAAACACTTATACAACTTGTCTTGTTATAATGGGTTCATTTAACATTCTTGATATATACTATTACACAGAGAAATGTACATGAATGTCTGTTCTAAAAGCATTCAAAAATGCATGGAGATGTGTCTGTTTCTTACCTCTTTTTCAGCTATCTTACCAAAGACTTGATCTTTACAGGAATGGAAAAATGCTTAAAGAGTAAAATTATTAACATAGGAGAAAAGTTGCTTTTTTCTTTAAAGTTATCAAAAAATTTTGCAACTGACTATAGAGGATTTCATGTTAGAATAAATGATATTGACTCTTCTTCAGTTTCATTCTGCCCTCCCTCACTTAAACCAGAGCCCTTGATAACAGGCAGGCAGGATTTCCAGTGAGGTCCATAGGAAATGCATATTTTACCTATGGAAATTGTGCACTTAGGTGATTCTTAGAGATTTAGAATTCTGTTGTTAACACTGGTTTCCTAATTCCTGTGTCTGTCACAACAGGGACCCACACTGTGTGAGACAGTTACCTTTGCAGAAACGTGAGGATTCTCTTTTGCTTAAAAGAACATGTCTAGAAAGATCATTGTGAACCAAAAGATTTCACCCTGATGTTTAGTGTCTTCTGTGTTCTGATAAGTTGGACCTCATTTAAACTGTGAATATATTGAAACAAAAACTAATTTATTTTCTTACATTTTACATGCCTTCAAATTTAATTAAGAAAAGTGATCTTCCATTTTTTATATGAAAGAGGTTGAACTTATCAAATGTTAGAGCAGAGGCTATTTCTTATTGAGATTCTATCCATTGCCATAGTTCAATGTCTCTTGTATCTTACACTGGAGTTCATTATTTTTTTCCCACAAAGTAAAACTCTTAAAAGTTACCATATATTACACATTCAATGTTTCAGGTAATATACTAATGTTTTGCATAATTACCTCATGTAATCTCCAAATAACCCTGTTGACATCAGCATTCCCATTGTACAGATGACACTATTAAGGCCCAGAAAAGCAAAATGATATACCCAAATGTATACAACTAAATGATAGCTGAGTCAACATTCAAACTCTGATCTGTCTAACTCGAAATAAATCTATGCTCTAAAGCAGCATATCACATTAATATCTGTTGAATTTGGATTTTTTTTTGGTTGGTTCCCTTTTACTCTAACTTGAATAGAGTTGTACAGTAAATGACTGATATCCTAGGATTACCTTTGAATGTCTTAGGATGAAAAACTGAAGAAGCTGGTAGAACAGAATGGAACAGATGACTGGAAAGTTATTGCCAATTTTCTCCCGGTAAGTTCATAATTTTTTCTTTTTGTAAAATGAAATCTTCTCCCAAAGATTTAAATAAGATATCCTAGGAGATGATATTAAGACATTACATATTTGCCCATATATAAGCAGTGGAGGGGGCATGCCTTATCCATAACTTATATTTCTATTTTAATGCATGTAATTAAAGTTTCTAAATGTATCCTTAAAGGACTTTTACAACATACTTCAAACATTTGCTTCTTATTTTATCTTTTCATTTTTTAGGATAATATAAATTGGCATTTTGATGATTTGTTATATGGCAGATGACTAAATTCATGATATTTCCCCCAAGTCAGCTTCTTTTAAATTTCATTCTTTTTTCAGTAGCCATAATTCTGGTACCCTGGTTTAAAATCTTGGAGTCCTTTTAGATGAATCCCAATCCTCGACCCCCAACACCCAAGCAGTGACTGAGAAGTCTGGGAATCTTCTGCCTCCTTCCCTCTTCTCTGGACAATTGCATCGGCTTCCTCACTGGGTGACCTACGTGTAGCTTTCCACCTGCCCATCCATCCCAAACACCATTGGCAGATGGAGCGTCCTAATATGCAGCTGTGCCTTACTTTTCAAAGCTAGCAACAGTGACTTAGAGTCTCACAGATTAAGTAAACTGCCTCAGCCTGGCATACCAGGGCCCTCCCATATGGCATCAACTTATAGCCCCAGTTCTGTTTCCTACTTCCTCTATGTAAGCAAGTTTGGTTGAATTCATTTCTGCTTTCCCTCCTGAGGGCCTTTGTCCCTGGGGATGCCACATCTTAAAATGTTCCATCCATCCTTCAAAGGTCCTGTCAAGAGCTTTTCCAGACTCCTTCTAAAGAAACACAATTTCTCCTCCTAAGGAGATTCTCCTTTTCCCACCCCAATATCATTTTGCTTTGGTTTCTTCTTGGATATGAATCAAATTCCACCCTCTATTAGTTATTATATATTTGTCCTTTGCTCATTGCAAGATTGTAAGCTCTTATAATGTAGGGCCTACCTTTATTCATCTTTGTTCCTTCTGCAATATTAAAAATTATGTCCCTAAATTGAAGCACATCTTTTAGTTTGAATGAGAAGCAAACTTGAGTCATTTAGAGTGGGTTTCCATAAAAAGTCCAACGTCAATATGGAATCTCTAAGATGTCTTAGTACACGTGGGTACTTCCACATACAACATGCTGAGGTTAAGTTTAAGTTAAATTGACAACCAGATATGCAATATGATGGTCCTGCAGTTCACATGGCAGGACTTTTTGCCTCAGGAGACAGAGCTTCTAATTTTAGATGCAACTTTGATATACTCTTTGTATGTTCTTTAGGCGTAAGTAATGAGGGCTAGGTGAGCTCTCCAAACATGCCCTAAAATGTTCTTGAATGTTTCCACTGTATATTGTCCATGTGTGATTTATATTACAACAAAGTCTTCATGTGCTTATCATATCATATCTATATCTTATTTGTCTAGAATCGAACAGATGTGCAGTGCCAGCACCGATGGCAGAAAGTACTAAACCCTGAGCTCATCAAGGGTCCTTGGACCAAAGAGGAAGATCAGAGAGTAAGTACTTTCTTCATTGGTATGTGATTCACAATGATGAATATTCCCCAAATGTCTTTGTTGAATGTTTCCCAACTCATGAAACAGGTCAAGTGTGCAAACAGGAAGCGAAGGACTCCATTCCCATATTTCCCGTGAATGAAAGCAGATTTTTAGAAATTTTCTAAAGATCTTGTAACATGAAGAATGATTACACTGACTCATTACATAACATTAAAACAGAGGTTATTTTTGTGTGTTTATCTGAAGGTGATAGAGCTTGTACAGAAATACGGTCCGAAACGTTGGTCTGTTATTGCCAAGCACTTAAAGGGGAGAATTGGAAAACAATGTAGGGAGAGGTGGCATAACCACTTGAATCCAGAAGTTAAGAAAACCTCCTGGACAGAAGAGGAAGACAGAATTATTTACCAGGCACACAAGAGACTGGGGAACAGATGGGCAGAAATCGCAAAGCTACTGCCTGGACGGTAATAATATGTCAAAAAAATGTATTGATTGGGTAGAATGAGGGAGTGGGTATTGAACATTCTGTTTTAAAAATGTATGGTGAATGAATTACATTTTATCGATGGTAAATGTTTCACTAGATAAACCAGTTCCATAGTTTTTACAACTGGAAGAGGTCTGAGGGTTTATCTACTTGAGGACTTACAGAATCCACCCAACAGTGAGCCTGGCTGGGGCCAACTCATTGAACTCTCCTCAGCCTCAGTTGCCCTAACTGCAAAATGGGTTATAACCTACATCACGAGGCCAATGTTAGGATGTAAAGTAAAATGAATGTAAGAGCACTTTGTAAACTACAAAACTCTAAACACATAGAAGGAAACCAAGGGTAGATAGTTTGTCTTTGATCTGAGTTCACATAGGTGGTTAAGTGACCAGAAGGAATTCAGCTACCATTTTCCTGTTACCTTGTTTGTTTAGTTTTACCACTTGGCTTAATTTTTTTTCTTTTGAATGAAGAAAGATTGTATTTCTAGAATTATCCTACTGCTTCTGGGTTTTTTAATGGTGTCCTTGTTATGCTTTCTTTTTAATGAACCAGGCACAAAGATGACCTCATTATGAGGGATGTCTGTGGAAGCTCATTTTTTCCCACTTTGCCCATTTAGTTTATAACAGATTTTGTTTCATTTGGAAGATACTTTTTATTATAAATCTTACATAAACATATTCTAAGATAGGAAGTATTTTAAATATTTTTATTCTTGAGCTTCATAAGCCAAAAAGTGGAGGAAGGGTCATTTGAATGAGGGCCATGGCTCTGGTGGTTTATGGAGTGTTCTCTTGTGATGTTCCAGAGCATCTCCTTCCTTATGGGTCAGTCTGAGCTTAGAGAATTCAAGAGGTTGATGAAAGGAGGCCTTTTCTCCCATATGGTCTGAGAGGATATGCTGTTGATTCTTCTAAAACATTAAGGGGCGATTGAACTTCCTCTTTTTTTTTAACATACATTCCCCCACCCCCGTCGAAATAGTTAAAAGAGAGGCCTAAAACGGTTTTTCTGAATTGAGAAACTGTTTTCCTGAGAATTGAAAAACTTTAGTAAAAATGCTTTGCAATTTGAAAATACATGGGGCCTTAACATCTCAGCCTCCTGGATCCTGTTTTACACTTTCACCTCTGCTGGTGGTTCCATTTGTCTGGTTGTGGAACCATTTGAGGTGGTTTTCAAAAGGTGGGAATTTTTGGGTTTTTAACTCAAAATTTCTGGCTGGTGCTCTTCTAGATAAAGAATAGAGATGAGAGAGGCAGCAACATCACTGCTCACCGAACTTTACCAGGTGCCTGTTGTGGTGGGTAGGCCCTGCTAAGCCACACTCAAAGGAATAATTTTCTAAGCAGCTAGAACTTTGAGTCTTAAAGTTACTAGAGTCTTGTACCACAAATAGTCAGAATAAACATGGAGGGTGTCATACTGAAAGTCCTCTTTTTATCAAGGAAACAAAATGGCTAAAAGATTTCAAAATCTATAGAAAACTATATATTCGTATTATGTAATTTGGAGAAACCTATGGATTTTTACTAAAGTATAAGGGGAAGCATGATTTTTAGGAGACAGAGAAGACAGAGACAATTAAAAAGAAAAAGAAAAACACTAGTAGCAGACCAAAAGACCTCCTTTAGGAACAGTTTTCTGTCAAATAACTGTCATTGAAATTGGAATTTTTGTTTGTAAAATGTGTATGTGATGTATTTCTGTGCAGAACTGATAATGCTATCAAGAACCACTGGAATTCTACAATGCGTCGCAAGGTGGAACAGGAAGGTTATCTGCAGGAGGCTTCTAAAGCCAGCCAGCCACCAGTGGCCACAAGTTTTCAGAAGAACAGCCATCTGATGGGTTTTGCTCATGCGCCACCTTCAGCTCAGCTCCCTCCAACTGGCCAGCCCTCAGTTAACAATGACTATTCCTATTACCACATTTCTGAAGCACAAAACGTAAGCCCTGCCTGAAAATTTCGTTTGATGAGAGAGAGGGTCCTTTTAGCTCCAAGTACTAATGATAACCTTGCAGCTGCGTACATCTCAGAAAGCTTTCACAAACAGGATCGTGATCGATCAATAGGGGTAGGTCTTGTTATCCCTGATTCAGATCCGGAAATGGCGATGTGAAGTGATTTGCTCAGGCTCACACAGCTCCACAGCTGGCAGAGACAGTACAGCCTGGGATCGGAGTTACTTGATTCTAACCCGCTTAATTTGAAGTTAGCTTTTGAATGTAAATTTACTTGACGAGGTGCTGCTGAGGCAGAAAGAGGAGGATGGAGGTAGAGTTGTATCTAATACTTTTTTCTTCCAAAATGAAAAGTGAATGTAATATTGCACTTAAAGAGGAGGTAGTCTGACACTGAAATTTAACAGATAAATTCTCAGTTCATTCTGGTAATGATCTACCTGAAATGTCTTAATTTGTTCACTCAGTAAATGTTTATGGTTTTACTGTGAGCCAGGAACAGTTTTGTGACACAATTGTCTGACATCTCCTTTTATCTGTCTTTGGATTGATGTGATTCCTTCTTCTTTTCTTGATGTTTATGTTTATGGAAAGATATCTTCATAATGGGTGGGGAAAGAAGAATAAAGAGAAAAGAATCAAGAAACTTAATCTTAAAATTAACAATAATAAATGGTGAAATGTACCCAAGAATACAGAGATCGTAAGCAAATTCTATGCAAAACATATTCATTACATAGTTTTTTAACTCTTCTCTATCTGTACCATGTATTTGACTACAGACTTTCCTGAAAGGTCTCAGGAAAACATGAGAGGTTCTGTGCTCTTTACTAAAACTCAGTAATTCACAGAAAAGTATTTTTATTTATAAACATCTAGTGCCATCAGTTTTTGCTGTCAAAACTTCTTCCATACATTCATGAATGTATTTTAGAGTATATTTTTCTTTGTGTTTTTCCTGTCAGAATCGATGAGCACTTTAAATTTCTTTCACTATGTTGCTTTAGCTATGGAACCATTGTTGAAGACTTGGCTAAAATTTCAGATTAGAATTGGGTTTAATTTTTTGTTTATTTTGCTTGGTGAATTTTGTCAGAAAAGTTTTTTTCTCCCCCTTAGTCCTAGAGCAAAACTTCGGGAAGCCAACAAGTCTCCTGAAGTATCCGTACCATGAATGACTCGACCTTTGTTTGTGTTGCCTTTTCTGATGTAGGTCTCCAGTCATGTCCCATATCCTGTAGCGTTACATGTAAATATCGTCAATGTCCCTCAGCCAGCTGCTGCAGCCATTCAGGTAAGACCATTTTAAGATCATTTCATAAAGAAACTCATTAGCTGCTCAAAGCACAGATCTATTTCCTTCATCTAAACACTCATTTCCACCTGACTCACTGAAGCAAAAAGAAAAGGGAATCATGGAGAGGTCGGCAGAGTTCTGGCCAGCAATCTACCACAATCTTCACTTCCAGAACGAATGTGTGCCGGAATTCTCTGATGTTGGAAGTTGAAGCAGCTCCTCAGGGAGCATCTTCTCTCTCCTCATCCCTCCCTGACATCTGGAATAACATTCACAGGAATTTCTACAGTGGGCAGATTTGGTTGGCGTTGATTCTATGCCAAGGCTCTGTGGGTTCTGTATGGTCCCTCCTGAATGGCAAACCACGATCATTGTATTTACAGCTTCCAACCAGACCTTTGTCTTTCTCTCCTTCCTTAACTTTTAATTTCAGAGACACTATAATGATGAAGACCCTGAGAAAGAAAAGAGAATAAAGGAGTTAGAGTTGCTCCTAATGTCTACTGAAAATGAACTCAAAGGACAGCAGACGCTACCAGTAAGACCATCACAGGGTGCTTGAATGAGGGGGAGGATAGTGGCTTGGCCCCAGTGCTCTTCCATATCTTTTCCCTTCTCTTCTGAATGTCACACTAATCAAGATTCTATCCACTAATATTGTTTAAACACTAGACAGTGCTTGTAATACCAGAGAGTTGGTGTCAGAATGATGTTGACTAGGTTGGAAGTTGTCCTTTTGTCTTGCAATAGAAATTCAATATCCACTTTTTTTTTCAATATCCACTTGTGATTCTCATCCTCATTTTTTTTTCTCCTGAAGGACTGTAATTAATTCAAATAGTAGCAGAGAGAATATGAAAATCTGCATTTTCTTTTTTTACAAAGCTGTGTCTCTGGTGCCTCATCATTTGATTTCTTTTCTTTTTCTATTTTTTTTAAACTAGCTTTTCATACTTTATCATTTCAAACATGATTTGATCCATGTTCGGTATATACACGTAAAAATGATATATATAAAATCCTCCATAAATAACACAAATAATTCCCTTTTGTTGGCATGCACGAAAGCTGTGTGGACCATTACTGGATTTGGACATCTTTCTAGTGATGGGGCAGGACACTGAGAAAGCAGCATGTACTTTGTAACGTATGTCGTTAACCAACAAAGAGAATAAAAGAGCTGTGATAGCCAGTAGGTATTCTTAGGAGTAGATTTCTTTTGGTTAAATAACAAAATGATTGTGTGCATATGCATATGATAGTTCGACCACTTTTTAACTTTAGTTAATGTTTTGCAATTTCTCCTGTTGCATGGTCATGCTGAAAGGAGACTTCTGTTAATTTGCTCTTCTGCTTTCCTAACCACGTTGATTTGGCAGCCCCTCACTGCATCGGTGCAATCCGTGGCACTAACAAGGAATAGAAGCCACAAGAATATATGCAGATAAAAACAACTCTAACTCTTGAATCCTCCAGCCTTTTTGTAGGTTGGAGTGAGAACAGCCAAATTCTTAATTGGCAGCAAACATTTATGGTCCTTTTGGAAATTATATTAGATTTTTAAGATATCCCGTGTGATTGTAGCCCTTTGTAACATTGTCCCTCTGTTTGCAGTTTTAACTAACTGATGACCATTAAAGGAATCAGAGAGATGACAGGCTACACCACTATTAAAAAGCAGGGTCCTGAATTGATAAAAGGAAACATCTTGACAACTGTTTCATAGGCGCAAGTTTGGGATGATGCAACTACTTTTATCTTTCCTCTAACAGCATCTGATACCTTGTGCAACTTCATTGCTAAGTTCCTTCTTCCTTTCTTCTCCCCGCTCTTTCTTTATTCCCCCACCCCCCTCCTTAGACCCAGAACCACACATGCAGCTACCCCGGGTGGCACAGCACCACCATTGCCGACCACACCAGACCTCATGGAGACAGTGCACCTGTTTCCTGTTTGGAAGAGCACCACTCCACTCCATCTCTGCCTGTGGATCCTGGCTCCCTACCTGAAGAAAGCGCCTCTCCAGCAAGGTGCATGATCGTCCACCAAGGCACCATTCTGGACAATGTCAAGAACCTCTTAGAATTTGCAGAAACACTTCAATTTATAGATTCTGTAAGTAGAATTTTTAAGGCAAGTTAATGTTTTTGAAAGGGGAATTAGGAAACCCACTTCTCAAATCATTGCCATTTTCTGTAGCAAATAACATGTCATTAATGTAAAGGTAAAAAGTATGATTTTAGTCTTTGTGTATATGCTTTTTCAATATCTGATTTCTTAGGCTACCCAGATAAAAGGTAGCTTTTCAACATTTCCCTCAAAATGCATTATTTTTTTTAATTATTGGAGTACAGTCAGTTACAATGTGTCAATTTCTGGTGTACAGCATAATTTTCTAAAATAGTAAAGTTAATAACCTTTAAGTAGAGCTTGGGTTATAGAAATGATATTTGAATTATTTTAAAGTTTTTTTTTTTTACTTTGTTTACTCCTTTGTGTTTCTCTAGAATTGTACTTTGCTTTTGGATAGCACATTAAGAATTACATTCATGCTGAGCTTCAAGCCATTTTTCAATGTATTTAAAGTAGTAATAAGTTCATTGGTGGTGCATGGCTTTCTCCACAAAATGTTGATTATTAATCAAGTGTCCCAGTTGGGTCACTAAGATAAACCATCTCTAGTGAAACAAGCTTGAGTTCAGCACCCCAAGAGCAGACACTCTATTCATTTCCTTTGTTTCCCAGTTAGTTAAAAGGCATTTACTGCATACCCGTCAGACAGGGGATGAACACTGCCAAAATGTGCCATCCAAAGTTTCTTTTCTCCTTTGCGTTGCATGCAAATGATAGCCGGGGGGGGGGGGCCCTGCAGCATCTGGGTAGGGCCAGCTGTAGACACACTATGTGTCTACACATAGCACAGAGGCAGCATCGTAGACACACTATGCAGTGCACCAGAACAACTGTTCATCCTGAAGCTGTTTCTCAGGAAGTCCAGCACACGGACCAGGTGTTTTCTCTGCATTCAGCATCTCTTTCTCAGTGCTGTGTTTCAGGTGATGGCACACAACATGCACACACTGTCTCAAAGTTCTGCACCTCCCACATTGTTTCAGGATTCTTCATCATGGTGTGATCTCAGCAGTTTTGAATTCTTTGAAGAAGCAGATTTTTCACCTAGCCACCACCACGCAGGCAAAGCCCTCCAGCTTCAGCAAAGAGAGGGCAAGGTGAATAGACCTGCAGGAGAGCCTAACACGAGGGTGAACAGACGCAAGTTGAGTGAGGGTCCACATGACCCGCTCAAGCCCTTCCCTCCTGCGAGGCCCAGCGCAATGCCACGGGTCAGCCTGCGAAAAAAGTGGGGCCAGGCCAGCCCCTTAGCCTCTGGACAATCTAGTTCCTTGCTATTTGCTGACGTCAGCAGTTCAACTCCCAAGTGCTCCCCTGTCAAAAGCCTACCCTTCTCCCCCTCGCAGGTAGAGCACAATTTCTGCACAGCTGTTACTAATTTTCAACAGACACCTGAGCCTTAATAATCTAGAAACTAATCCTTTGGAACAAATGACTAATTACTGTTGTCTTCACTGATTTTGTTCCCTTGTTGTTTCTAGCTGTTGCTAAGTCATTCTGCCTCCCAGAATTTAGACTGTCTGTAGGCTGACTGATGATTCTGTCATAATTTTGTGACTTTCTTGGTGATTTGAAAGATGGTTAGTTGCATGGATGTGCTTTTATTTCCTTCAACACTAGAATTTAACATTTCTATCCTTTCCTCTTCTCCCATCTCTTCCCTCCCTTTAAGAACTTCAACAGATTTTTTCTGCCTCTTTGTTCACTTATTATTATGTGATTCACTGACCCAGGGGAGGAGGGAACCAAAATTATGTTTAGAAAACGTTTGAGTTGCAACTGGAAAATTTTCAAGTTCCAATCCATCTTTAAGTGGAAAAGCTTTGGAAGAAAATGAGGAACAAATGCTTAAGAAAAATAACGTACATTTCAATTTCAGTTTCTCAACATTGGCTCTTTTGGGTTGTGCTGTAATATTTTATTTGCACAGTTTTTGCCAATGAATATTCCTGTTTCATACAGTTTTTTTAAGGAATGGAAATTATAATTCTTATCAGAGACTTGTTCCTTAATTATTAAAATAATTCAAATGAATAGGTAATTTGGCACTTTAAAACATTTTTTCCAATTATGTCTGTTGAGTTTGTTTTAAGAACAGCTTTAAGTGTGAGCAAACAACATGCTCACGAAAAAAACTATCTTGTTTTTTACTTGTATTTCCCAAACTCTGTTCCAGAGAATGTTAGTTCTGGAAGACTTTAATGATGTTCCAGAAAAACATCTAAATATATAGGTATATAAGTTTGGGAAACACCAAATCAAACAAAATTAAAATGTTTTCTTTTCTGCAGGACCACTCAGAGTTTCTTTGTTTTTTGGGTTTTTTTTTTTCCCACAGTTTTAAATATACCAATGTGCATTGTGAATTTCTAGGAGGAGATTACAATATGTGTGTTTCCCAAACTTATTTTACCTTAGAACTGTTTAAGGAGCATCTATTATCTTTCCAGAACATTAGTGTTCTGAGAGACACAGCTTATTATTCAAGAATCTTCCACATAATGTCAACTTTCTATAATAACGGTTCGTAGATCATTAAAGAGAAAAAACAAAGTATGAAAGAGAAACAATCATTACTTTCCCCCCAAATCACTTTAACGCTTTTAATGTTACTAAAGAGTGCATCCCATTCTCTTTAATGGCAAGTGTCATTTATTGAGAATATTTTCTTAGGATTTTGCAGGTTTTCCAGCATTGACGCTAGATTTCATTTCTTGTAAATCATACTCCAAATTTTGGGTGCTCAATTCAAATAAAACTCTATCTGCTTGTTAACATCACTATTATTTCATATAGTGGGTCAGTAAAACATACCTGCTTATTAACAACATGTGATTTTTTAACTGGGCTGAATAAAGAATCACTGTTTAAGTAATTTTTTTTTCTTTCATCCCATATTTAGTTCTTAAACACTTCCAACAGCCATGAAAACTTAGACTTGGAAATGCCTTCTTTAACTTCCACCCCTCTTAATGGTCACAAATTGACTGTTACAACACCGTTTCATAGAGACCAGACTGTGAAAACGCAAAAGGAAAATACTATGTAAGTCCTTGTTTCAAGAAAAAAAAATTATTTTATTTACTTATATTTAATTAATAGATCTGTCTGTATGTATATAATTTTACTGATCCATTTGTATGTACATAATCATGCATATCTTCACATTGAATATATCTGTCCTGGGCATGTTAGAACTACCTAGAGGTGGAAGGTGAGAGAATAAACTAAATTACATCTTGTAGTTCACTTCAGAATTTCCTGTAAATGCAGAAGTAGTTTTTATATGACTTTCCATTCAGTTTTTCTGTTTGTTCAATGAGACCCTTTCTTCTTACTGAAAACAAGATTTTCAACCTCTTTTCCTCTCTGATTATAATTGAATAAGAATGAGTATTGTTCTTTACTTAGTTCATTTTTTTAAGCCTTTTTTTTTCTTTTTGAAATTTATCTATAGATAGGACCTCTTTTGCCATCCTCAGGAAAATTATGTGATTAGAAGCCAAGGAGTAATTAAGCAGTCATTTATATTCAATAAAGACTTAACCACTTTGAAGAAATAGCAGAGAATATCAGTATAAATTATAAGAAACCTTTTAAAAAATGCAATGTTATAATTTCCAAGTACAATAAATACATTTTAAAAGATTAACTTATGTTTTCTGCTGTGGGTAAATAATGAATAGATAAGACTGATTCGTAAATGACATGCGATCTTCACAATGCTATGGTCATTATAAAGACTTAGGGGCACTGCGTGTGTTTTCAGAATGGTTAAAGAAAGGTGAGAAATATTTCAGTGTTCTTAGTTTTAGGGTATCATATTTTGAAATATTTGGAAATACGTGATGAACATATTATCCTTTTCTTAACAAGACATATATGATTCCTCAGCATACCCTATTCCATGTTAATAAGAGTTTATTGTATTCAGTAGAAAAATATTAAATTTAATAGATAGAGAACTATAAGGAACCTATGTTCTTTTATATTGAACCAACACTTGTTTTCTTTTTAAAGTTTTAGAACTCCAGCCATCAAAAGGTCAATCCTAGAAAGCTCTCCAAGAACTCCTACACCGTTCAAACATGCACTCACAGCTCAAGAAATTAAATATGGTCCCCTGAAGATGCTAGTAAGTTTTAGTGAAGTTCTTAGGTTTGGCTGGTTTATTAGTAGAGACAGAAATTTTCCTCTGATGCAAACATACCCAATCTTCCCTCCAGCCTCAGACACCATCTCATCTAGTAGAAGACCTACAGGATGTGATCAAACAGGAAACTGATGAATCTGGAATTGTTGCTGAGTTTCAAGAAAACGGGCCACCTTTACTGAAGAAGATCAAACAAGAGGTAAACACAGGACCCTCTGGAAGGAACAACCTTGTTGCCTTTGCTCCTTGTGGGCAGCTTGATGTGTTGGGCAGGGACACTGTGTAACAGCACTACTTGGATTTTCATACAAGATGCAGTTAAGAGGTACTGCCAAGCTGTAGGCATGTGACCTTGCATTTGGGAAGCCAGGCTACTTCTATCTCCTTCATGTTTGAACAGAAAACATGTTAGAGAGGAGAAAGGAAAGAAAAGGAAGCAGTATTTCACTGTTGTGTTTTTTTTTTAATCACTGATGTATAGATGGATAGAAGACTGATTTATACATAGGTAATTAATTTTTGGACATCATGGAGAATTAAACTTGAAATAATAGTATCTTTAATTCATAGTATAAAAGAAAAGGAATTTAACCTGCCAAGATGAAAGTTTTAGCTTCCTGGCAAGAAGCATTTCCAACAGGTTAGATACAGTGCCTGTTGAATTTATTCTCATATAAGTGGTTGAGAGAATGGCCAGAAATTTACTTTCTTTTTCAGCTTTACTGAGATATAATTGACAAGCAAAATTATAAGATATTTAAAGCATACAATGTAATGTTTTGTTATATGTGTGTGGAGTAAAAGGATTCTCCCCCATTGAGTTCATTAATGCAATATTTACCTATTTCTCAGTGAGAACATTTAAGTTCTACTCTCTTAGCAAATTTCAGTTATACAGTACGGTGTTGTCAACTACAGTCACCATGTTGTTATACAGAAGATCCTCAGACCTTATTCATCTTACAGAAATTTACTCGACTGTAGCTGTTTCATGGGATGTTCTAGTTCTAGAAACAACAAAGCACTTCCTGTTTGCTTTTAGGTGGAATCTCCAACTGATAAGGCAGGAAACTTCTTCTGCTCAAACCACTGGGAAGGGGAGAGTCTGAACACTCAGCTGTTCACACAGGCATCTCCTGTGGCAGACGTGCCAGTAAGTACACGCCCATGTATGAGATGTTGGGGCCTCACAGAATTCTGTGTGTGGCATGTGGGGCTCCTGTGGTTTCAGCACTCGGTAGTGCATCCTACTTCTAAATGTTCTCTCCCACACGATTACTTCCTTACGGTTATTAATGCTGAATATTAAGTGAGATTTTGTTTGTTTTGGAAAGAGATTCTGTTCCACTGCAGATTTGTTTATTATTTATTTTCTTATGATTTGAAGAGTCCTTGCCACTTGAAAAATCTGCTGCATGAGTATATATATATTTCCATGAAAACAATGCTAATTTTTACATTTTCTTTTAATTCACTTATTTGTCTTCTAAATGTAGTGCAGGTTTCCCCTACTATCTGAAAATACAGCCTCACTGTGAAACTTTTCATTGGCTAAAAAGGCATAAAGCAAAAAAAGGAATTACCTTAGGACATATCTTGATAACAGGTGCAAAAATTAAATTTAAAATTTAAAATAACAACCAAATGTAACAAAACAGAAACAGATTCACAGATAGAACAAACAAGTGGTTGCCAGGTGGGAGGGGGTCAGGGGAGGAGTGAGATGGGTGAAGGGGATTAAGAGATACAAACTACCAGTTATAAAAGAAATGTCACAGGGGTGTATGCATAGCACAGGAAATATAGTCAATGTTTTTTAATAACTGTGTATAAAGTATAATCTATAAAAATATTGACTCACCATGTTGTACACCTGAAAGTAATATGGTATTTTAAGTCAACTATACCTTAATAAAAAATGAATAAAAATAAATAAAGTGAGATAAAGCACAGATGCTCACACAGTTCAGAGCTATGGGGCTTGATGCTAAGATGCTGCGAATTGTGCCCGGGGAGGGAGCTCGGTGGCGCCACTCTAACTGCTCAGGGCATGTGCTGCCTCTAAAATGGCTGGCTGCAAAACAAAAGCAAAAGTCCTCTTCGGATTCCTCTCGGTTAGCAGTAACAGGTACTCATGTAAAAGCACAGCAGTGTGAAGTGAACTATCGAAGAGTGGAGGGTACTCGTACTTCCTCCTTGTAAAGTTGTCTCCTGTTTGGTTTTATGCTATTGTGCAGCGTAGCACTACTCATGGTGTCTGTAGTAAATGCCCTTCATTGTACCCAATACTGCATTGCTTTCGTCACCGCCATTTTCTTAATAGGCTTTATTTTTACAGCAGTTGTAGGCTCACAGCAAAGTTGAGCAGAAGGTACAGGGATTTCCCATATACCCCCTGCCCTCACGTATGCATAGCTGCCCCGTTATCAACATCCCCCACCAGAGGGGCACATTTGTCACAACTGATGAGCCTACATTGATACATCATCACCCCAAGTCCGTAGTTTACATGTGGATCCACTCTTAGGGTTGTATGTCCTATGAACTTGGGCAAATTTATAATGACTTGTATCCACCATTATAGTATTGTGCAGGGAGGTCTCACTGCCTTCAAGATCCTCTGTGTTCTGCCATTCATCCCTCCCTCCTCTCTAACTCCTGGCAACTACTGATCTTCCTCCTGTCATTGTGGTTTTGCCTTTTCCAGAATGTTATACAGTTGGAATCATACAGTAGGCAGCTTTTTCAGACTGGCTTCTTTCACTTAGTAATATGCTCTTAAATAGCTTCTGTGGCTTTTGGGGCTTGGTAGCTCTCTCTCTCTCTCTTTTTTTTTTAGTACTTAGCCATCATTTTCAAAGTTTATATTATGTGAATGGTTGCCCTTTTGTCTTATGGAGAATCAGAGCTAATAGCAATTGCTAATATTTATTCAGGATGTACTAAGCAGTGAGTAATATTCTAAGAACTTTAGATGCATTAACTCATCTAATCCTCACAAGCACCCTGCAAGGTTGCTAACATTATCATTTCCATTACACCAAGGGGGAAACCGAGGCACTGGGAGGCTTAGTCACTTGCCCAAGATTGGATGGCCTGTAAAGTGATGGTTCTGGGCTAGAACTTTCATCTAGTTCTCAATTCCAAACTCATCATTATACCATGCTACCATTAATCTGTAACTCTAAAATATTTCCATACCGATATATGAAATAAACAGTTCTCCCACCAGATCTTAGTAAATCTTTCATTTTTAAAAGCACGTATTTATTAATTCATTCAGCAAGTGTGTTTTGAGTGCCTACCTCATGTCTAGAACTGTATGAGACCCAAAGCTTTTTGTTTTAATGGTGTTTGCCACAGTGGGATTAGGGTTAGTACATAGTTGAGTCCTCCATTTAGCTCATTGGGAAGAGAATTTCTGGCAGATACCTGCATTTTTTTTCCTGCTAATGTGTGTCACCTCATAGTAATCTACTCTCTAACGCGTTAGAATTGTGTCTGCTCTCATACTATCCAACCTCATTTAAATTTCCAATCATTCTCTTTCCCTTCAGAATATTCTTACAAGTTCCGTTTTAATGACGCCAGTATCAGAAGATGAAGACAATGTTCTCAAAGCATTTACAGTACCTAAAAACAGGTCTCTGGCAAGTCCCTTGCAGGTAATTACTCTTCCAACATTGGTGTCTTAAAAATCATTCACTAAAAAAGTGTCTTAAAAAAACCTCCTCTTAGACATAGAGGAGTGATGCTTTTAAACAACTCCCAATGTCTTAAAAACTCCTTAAGTTCCTTGTTTCCACTCCTATGAGACGCACTGGAAATTTCTGTTAGAGCAGGTTCCCAAAGCATGATGAAGTGAGACACTTCTTACTGTGACTGAGACTAAGATCATTTATTACACTTGTGTTAATATCGCCTTCTTCTGCTTTTAATGATTTTATACAAAATTGTTATAGTTTACTTTTAGTTTCAAATTTTTCATGTTTTTCTGCTCCCTCACTAAACCATTCAAGCTCAGGCTCTGCTTGGATTTTAAATGGAATTTGAAATTAGGTAGCTGGAAAATAATTACAATATATTTGACTATCAGAGTGAGAAAGTCAACTGTCAGTGTTATGTGGCTAATCTGTAGTTGAACATCTGCTCTCAGGTTTTAATATCAAAAGAGATTTCCCTTTTTCTGAAGGAGGTGTATATTGATGAAATACAACAAATTCCAAATTAATCCTGAGCCAAATGTAAATAAGAATGCAAATTTGCTCCCCTAAATTATTTAAAGCAGTTCCCAACATTAAGTAGCATCAATACCCAGCCACCTGCTGAGGCCTTCCCTCCCTCCCCCACTGTGCTACACTGAGGGAAATGTGGAGAACCCAGATTCAGTAGTGGAAAGTCACCCTTGTCCTGTGAGGGGAAGGCACTGTAATAGGATGGGGTACTTTGAGAGAGTGTCCTGTTTCTGGAAGGGCTGTCCCATCTCTGCCGAAGGCCTTCTCTCTCCAAATTGTGAGAATCTTAAAACTTTCCCTTTTTAAGCACTTGTGATATTTAGCATTATTTTTAAGTAATACAAATACAGCTGGAAGGGCTGTAGGCACGCTTCGTCTCTTCATTCCATCCAGTTGCTTTCCCTGTGGCCTCTTTCTGATCTGACTGCTTTGATGGAAGTTGGCTGTTGACCGGAGTGTGCAGTAGGGAAAGTCATTCTTTGTGGGGAACCTGGAGTCATTTTTCAGTCAATCAGGTCTGGGAGGCATGTGAAGAAGGCTCAGAGTACTGCAAAGAATTGGAGATGAGGAAAAGAAGGAACGCTGCAGAACAGGGACACAGAAAGGGGGTTAGAAGGGTGTGAAGACAAAGGTCAGCCACTTCAAAGTTTTACCTGGAGCTGATCCTAGATCCGGGGGAGACATTGTTTTTGTTTTCCTTTCCCTCTTCCTTACTAAATTACTTGGCCTAGGTTTCCAGAGCATAGAATTTGACTATTGCGATTAGTACATTAATTAAGATAAGCTAGGGCAAGTTTTGTGTGTATTTTATAACCTAGGCTGGGATCTGTCTTATATTTCTAGTAGGATAGAACAAGTGCATTCTAAGTTGCAAAATGCAGAATGTAAGTATGCTTGGGGACAGTTATCATTGTGTAAGTTGAAAACTTTCCTTAAAACCAAATCCTAAAAGCTTATGGCCTAACCAAATAGTATTTAGCAAAACTCAAACCTAAACCTTTATGCAGATACAAAATGTATCGAGCTGAACATGGTATAGTTATCAAAAATATATAAAGTTGATAAGAATGTCAATATTTATTTAAAAAATCAATTGTCTAATTTTTACCTTAAAGTTTTTAATGCTGTTGCATTAAAAACTCAGTATGAAACTTTATTATCAGCGTATTTATATTTTATTCGATGGAATATTACTTATCTTTGAAACTCAAGATTAAGTAGTAGCTCTATTTTTATTAATCTATGTTTTCTAGCATATCAATGAGTCATACTTGGCACTCTACAGATTCTAATATTATATATTGAGATTAAGCCATCTATGTACGTCACACAGTGAAGGTAACACTTGTCAGTTCCACTGAATAGTTGAGACCTACAAACTGATTTTGGAGTCAGTGCTTCTGTCTATAGTGTATGGTTTTGCTATGAATTTAGACCCCTCGAGTATATTTTAATAAACTGCTATAATAGATAACTAATTCATTTTAAGAAATACTCACTAAAGGAGTGATTGCATGTCATGGAAACCTAGCTTCTGATACCATAGAAATATGTGATTTCTAAAACTTTCAAATTTTTGTGATAATTATCAAAAAATACATCAAATGATTCTAAATATTTAAACATAGATTGTCTATATTTCATATGATCCTGACCTAACAATATTTATATAGGTTTTAAAGCAATTTGGTAATTTTGTTTGTTAAAAACATTATACTTTATCATATGTTTCCATTGATAAATCAATTTGACCTAATTAGGCAACCATCTCATGCAGGGTAGTGTCAAACACATTGTGCATTTGTTAAATGATCTGGCTGTTCAACTTAAGTACTTTATATAACCTAGAAGTTTCCTAATTTGTACTTACAATAAATCAAATATTAAATGGGATTTTATCCAATCTAAACCACCTCTT